TTTTCAATAAGCAATCCTGAAAAATATTTGGGGGTGCTTAACTTTTTTCCAGGTGTATATATTTCGCCATGTCTTTTTTTGACATAATTTTAAATTCAACAATGACGAATGGCATTTACCACATAGTTTCATTTAATGGTTCTCATAACAGTTTCCACATCGAACAATTTATAATGCCAAGTGAGTTTGTCTTGTGAAAAATAACTTGTAAAACGTACTTAAATTTTCAGTTAAGTCACTGTTTTTCCAACTAACGAATTGCAAGGGGACAATTAAAATCATCACAGATTAAACTGATAAAACCCATTAAGAACATTGTCTATAAAATTGTTTTCACTTTAATTTTCAGATGCAGTTACACATTTTCAATTTACCTTAATTACGAAACAATTCCTTGCCCTGCCTGAAACGTTAGAAATTATTATTAAATATTTCAAATATTTCCATCCTTGACCATAAAATTGTTGAGAATATCGAGAAATCCCAAGATCATTCCCATAACTTCAGTACATCACAAGGACCAGGAAGTAAGAAAATTGTTTTTGGAAAATGTCGACAAGAACATTCCATAAATTTCTATGGATTGTATTATTATTTGTTAACTATTTAAATGCTAAAAAGCGTAGAATGAATACAATTTAATTAGCGAAGTATTTACTTAGCTTCATGGAAGAGGAAAAAACCTGAACTAATGGCTAATGAAGAGTGTCTCATCCCGAAATATTTTAGCGTTCACAACATTTCGGGGTGAGACTTTCTTTCTTGAAACATCTGTTTATCAGGAATCTTTTTTTTTTTTTGTAGTATAAATTTTTACACCCTTGTTCGTTTATGATTCAATCGTACCAATCGATCTTTAGCTGCTTTTTTTCATATGACATTAGAGTGTACAGCGAAATATTGGTTGGTATTTTACATTATTCAAATACTTAAGATGTGTCAATTGTTACCTGTGCTTCCATTTTCAGACACATGTAGTCCTGAACTTTGTTGATTACCGCCAATAATGACCTCTTCATTGTTAGTGTTGATTACTTTAGACAGTGTAGCAGTACACTTAAGTCTCATTTCGCCCTTGTGAAAATGGTGTCCTCTAACTATAAACTTCAGCCCCAGAAGCGAAGCTTTCAATCCATAAGGGTAAGTCTGGAGATCGTACGGTACGATGAAGTCTGCACTGGCCTGTGATGTATCACATGGAAATTAATGTTACAGTTAGCGTCAAAATCTCTTTTCTACAATACAAATATATTATAAAAAATATACATTTAAATACAAGTAACCAAGTTTCTTCATTCTAACATTTCTAGTGTCTCTAAGAATGCGAAAATCGGGTCTGGATACCAATAGTGGGTGTAGCACGTATAGCCTATTGTGTAGTTTCGTGGATAACAAGAACCAACCAAACCAAAAAAAAAAAAATATTAAATACAAAAGAAGACTTTTAAATGTAAAGTAAGATAAATGTATAATATTTGTGATGATTGGGTAACACAAAAAGCAGATACACAGATGTAACAAACAAGCGCTGAATAGGTTACTATACAGTACTAAATGTTTAATCCTCAATTTAGAAATGGTAATTTCTGTGTCCATAATAAAAGTTAAAGTCATGGTTGTTTAGGAACATGAAAATTTTTCAGAGATTCTACATTGTACCATCATGGCGGTGGGTGGATCTCACGACCAAAACATCGGTCAGCTGATTTTTCGGAACCAATCACACCAGACAGTATAAATCGTATTTGGAGCATAATGTGAGCAGTACTGTTACCATAGGTCAACCTTCATTTGTATGGAATTGTAATACTGTATCACACAAATTTTAAAACCAAAGTTACTGTTGAATGTGAACGACTAACTGGTTTACTGGGAGATTCGATTCGATTGTTTGTTTCAGAATATTCGGACAAAGGTATAGAAAAATATGTCAGCGCATAGCTGTTCCTAATTTCCAACTGATTGACTAAGGGAAGTCAACTTGTTAACAGTACCAATCACCAGTTTTTGTGCTATTCTTGACGGACCGAATAGAGAAATTTGACTGTCACTCTTATAGTATACCTGTGACCCCAAAGTTTGTAACAATATTTTGTGGAAACAAGTGTAAAACCACGAATTCTCGGATTCACAGTCCGAGCACACTAACCACTAGGCGTTGCCCGGTCAATTTTAACTCGAAATCAGATTTTTAGTGTCATAAGCCAACTGATTTAAACTGACAAAAAAATTTAAGTTTGTGTGTTTGTTGGTAATTAAGCGCAAAGCTACACAATGAGCTATCTGTGCTGTGTCCTTTTCGAGTATCGAAACTCGTTTCTTTGTGTTATAACCCCGCAGAATTACCGCTGAGGACCCAGGGACTCGACTGTAAGAAAAAACAAACAAACAAATTTATATATATATCATAGATTTAAATCAAATACCCTTTAATAAACAATATAAAATGACGTTAAAATTACATAAAACAATTGTTTTTTATCAAATAAAAATGAGAATTTGGCAGTGAAAAATCTTTGTTATGTCTAACAGTCAACTGATTGAAAGAGAGGCTACTATGATATATAGTGATATTATAAAAACGGTGCAAAAAATGGGTTAAACAAACATTTCTGTACATGAAATAAGATAGTTAGAAAATTAACTTAACTACTTTCATAGTCTTCGAGTTGTATATTTACGATTAAGCCCGACGAGAATCGAACCACGACTAATTTTGGAGTGAGCTTTGTTATATTTCAAAGATCTTCATAGATTATATCTGGCGAATTTGGATTGAAGTAATTTTCCTTTTCTTTTAATCATTTTTATGAATACTTACATATTTAATGCGACAAAGCAATAATAATTTCTAGTCTAACTGTAGACTGAACTACATGTAATATAATTCTATTATTGTGGAAAGTTACGGTGGATTTTTTGTACTCTCTGTTCTGAAAATGTTATAAATAGAAAAGCAAAACTAACGAAAAACTTCTTCAACATTTATTAGTTGTGTGATTATATTTTGTATACAAGGATGAATAAAAATGCGTTTATATCAAAGCGTTTCAATCAAAATACAAAAACGAATACACTTCTCCATTGTCGTTAATCTAAAACTTATAGCCCCCTGCTCTATTTTATTATGACACGCACTTCGAGAAGTGTCCTTTTGTAATTTATTTGACACAAAAAAATTTTACAGCTTTCAATAAAATATGTACCGCGTTAATATTAACACTAACGATGTACAGACTGCAAAGTGATTTTAGTATCAACCAAATGAAATATTTGAAACGCCCATCAGCACAGCTTCAACTAAACGTCATGCTTATGTGAAACGTATATGACAATTGCTACAACTACATGTAAACTGTGAGCAATTTATGCGCTAAACATAGTATCTTCCCTCATTACTATATCACACTTAAATACACTTTTTTCACATATACATATCCAAATGTGTATTCGGATATCAAAGTTATACCCGAAAAAAAATGAGATGCTGATCTAGGTCTTATGTTTTAGTAAGGTTCTTATTTTAGAACACTGTGAAAGTTCTCTAAATAATAGGTATACAACACACGCCAGATAGATACTGTATCTGACTTCTGCCACACCCATATGGATTAATTCATTTGTATACAGATTGCCCAACTAATACACTATGCAAAGTACAAGTTTTAATGTCCAGGACACTGCTTTTCAAAGAGAAATTCTTCATTGTTACTTAGGAAAAAATTCCTTGTGGGAAAAAATTCTCAAGAGATAATGAAGCTTCACATCAAACTTATTTTTTCTTTTGTCTAATGTCGAATTTCGTCGTTTTTACTGTATTACACATAAAATAAACAAAAATACATATGTACGTCAATCACTTTATTTCCTTAAATTTTGAGTTGAATTATTATTTTCTCCCCAACCACAGTAAATAATCTGAAATTTAAGCATAGCTTCACATTAAGTATGCATTAAGGTTGAGATGTAATATGTCTTTGATGTTTACACGAAATTAATAAACTGAAAATAAGATCATTTCAATGAGTAATATTAATAAGAAAATGAAAAATAAGAAAGGTAGAATAATTTTCTAAGAGAAGATGATGGTGAAGTATCATCGTCATCAATATAACACTTTGACCTTTAATTTAGTTTTGATTGCGACACATTTTGTACTGCGACACATTTTGTACTTCAGTCATACCTGAAAAAGGGATGACATAGACATTTCAGGCAGGTTTACGACATGCTCGTGTTGCTGAGAAGATAAATATATACGTTAGCAGAGAAAACTTGCATGTAAAGAAATAAAAGTATAGGTAAATATGAATTATAATAGAGTACCGTGATATTAATGACGTATTGTATTAAGTGAATTATTCAGATGGCTGCATGTATCAGTATAGTATAGTAACTGCTATATGTATCTTTCGTTATATACATTCAGAACATATTTATAATAAAAGCGGAAAGTAATAATTTATATTTGACAAAATAGTGTTCGACTAAATTACCTTTACTTCCTAACTCTTAACAAACGGGCCCGGCATGGCCAGGTGGTTAGGGCGCTCGACTCGCAATCTGCGGGTCGCGGGTTCGAATTACTATCCCACCAAACATGCTCGCCCTTTCAGCCGTGGGGGCGTTATAATGTGACGGTCAATCCCACTATTCGTTGGTAAAAAAGTAGTCCAAGAGTTGGCGGTGGGTGGTGATGACTAACTGCCTTCCCTCTAGTCTTACACTGCTAAATTAGGGACGGCTAGCGCAGATATTCCCTCGTGTAGCTTTGCGCGAAATCCATAACATAACTTAACAAACGTGGGTTGAGAAGATTTTTGTATCTTACCTTATTGTCATCCATAGCATAACTTAACAAACGTGGGTTGAGAAGATTTTTGTATCTTACCTTATTGTCATCCATAGCATAACTTAACAAACGTGGGTTGAGAACATTTTTGTGTCTTACCTTATTGTCATCCATAGCATAACTTAACAAACGTGGGTTGAGAACATTTTTGTGTCTTACCTTATTGTAATCCATAACATAACTTAACAAACGTGGGTTGAGAACATTTTTGTGTCTTACCTTATTGTCATCCATAGCATAACCTAACAAACGTGGGTTGAGAACATTTTTGTATCTTACCTTATTGTCATTTATAAACCATGATAACTTTGCTGGCTTCTGAGATTTTCTTGAAGTACAGTTGACGTCCACTTCATCTCCAACTTGGTACTTGGTCAAGCCACCTTCTATGCGTGGGCCGTCAATTGCTAAAGGTCAGAATATAAAAGGTCATCGCACATTAACAAACTGAGTTTTTAATCGTTAGTGAATATTTTTTTTGTATTTTATTTATGCCTTTAAAATCATATTTTGTGTACCTAGCTTTTAAAAAAACAACTGAAGTTTTAGATATTAAAGATGATATTAGAGTATTGTTGAAACCTTTATTCTAATTAGTCTATTTTCGTGTTTTTTATTGGGTTTTTCATAAAGTTGATATTAAACGTACAGAAACTTACTAATAATCAGAATTTGATGTATAAACCAATCGCAGAATTTAATGTAAAATAACTGTTTTGAGTAACCACTGAAAATTGAAGTTTCTGTAAATGCGATACGTACAGTGAACTGTGCATAATGAGTAATAAAAATGATTATTTAAGGTAATTCATGACAAAATCTTGGTGGCACAGATAGGGAAGTTGGAGCAGTTTTTATAACTAAAATATTATACCAATTTACTAAAGCATTCGATCGAAATATTTCGATTTGAACGTTTCGCTTAGAAAACTCTGCATTGTTTTAAAGACTTATATATGTAACATATATGTGTATTATGCCACGACTTCCTTTATATGTATAATTTATACGTTATTACGTCACGACTTCCCTTATATGTATAATTTATACGTATTACGTCACGACTTCTCTCATATATGTAATTTATACGTGCATTATGCCACGACTTCCCTTATGTATGTAGCTTATATTTATATTACGCTATGACTTCTCGTATATTTGTAACTTATATGCGTATGATGGCACGACTTACAGAAGGGCTAAGTTGTTGTTACCAGCATTAATGTTCTTAATTGTGTTCGCCCTACAAACATTACAGATGTGACCACAAACAAAATTATCTCACCAGTGTAGAGTCCAGATGCCCTGACAGTATTGCCAACAATAATTTCTTCACTTGTCATGGAGTATGCCTGTGAGATCGCAGCCAAACACCGTAGCTTCAAAACACCATTCACCAAATGTGAAGGCTCCACGATAAAATGTAGTCCCAGCTGACTGCTTAGAAGTCCATCGCGGTATCGAACGACGGGGGCATGCCAAACAAATGCTGGCGGAACCTAATATGAGAGGGAACAGTGTGATTATTTTTATTACTTAGTAGACTGGTTATCAAGACTAACCAAAACAACATCTTTTGCTGACTCTATTAGGGTTAGGAGCAGTCTTGTAACTACCAAAGCAGTTTATTAAACCTCGTACGAAATGCAAGAAAAGGTTAATAATATCGTCGGAAACGTATAAATATTTATTTGACGGATACAAAACGACTTAACGTTAGTCCGTGTAAATAATTGATACCTACATCATATACAAACTTACATAGTGTGTTTATTTTCTTTGCCAACGAAGCTCTGAAAATTAAGGTGTGAGAATAAACGAGTTGTTTTTCGCTTTCTTTCTGTGGCGTCGTATATGTAAAACGTATTTACGTTCGATTAGATATTATTTATCAAACAGTAACGCAAAAACGATATCAAGCAAGAGCAACATAAGAACTTAAGTAAGATAAACATATATTATCGATGATATCAATATACACAAATATATATAATCGACTTTTAGTTTTTATTCTAAAATGTTTTTTACTAGAAATTATATTTTATGTTGTACATTATCAGAGTTTTTGGGTCTCTCACAAAACAGTGTTCAAACAACCAGTAGAGATTTTAAATTCATGATATGTAACACTTGAACGTCTAGAATAAAGTTTATGCAAAATATAAACCCTATCTAAATCTTTTGATAATTTTTAGTCAAAACATGAATCTTGTTAAGCATAGGGGGATTGGTCCGATTGTGATTCTGTAGCTTTCGTAAATGCTGAAGTAAAACACGCGCAAGTCTTATTTCGGCTGAAATCGCGTGACTCGTGAGGTGGATCTTCTTCTGGACTCAATGTGTGTTTGTTTTTTTTTATTTTAAACCCCGAAGATTGATACAATTATTGTACTTCCTTCAAATCTCGGACGTAAAAGAGATTATTGGAATGAAATATTTATAAAACGGGAAAAAAATGTTAGTTGACAGATTGATATGGTCCAGTCATAAAGGGTATTCGTTTTGTTTTTGTTTGTAAAATAGAAATATATATAGAAAGAAGAGAAATTGGAAGATCGTGGTATTCTTCAGTCATTCATTAGAACTGGTTACTTCGTTATAGATTCTTTAAAGTTTAGAAACGCTACGAATGAATGAATGTTGTGTCTCAAGTTTTGAGATGAAATCTTCTTTCTTTGTTTGGGATTATTTTGTATCTTGTAATTCGGATGAAAGATATGAGAAACTTTTTAACTCTACTATTTATTTGTACCAGAAATATATATCTTCAGATGAGAGCCAAGACGTCGCATTAAAAGAAACAAGCGGTTATATATATATATGTGCACTACAAAATGATTTTGCATGTAAAGGTCGCACAACACTATTATATGTGTCAAGCATTTATGCTAAGCTAAGATCTAGGCACCTACATTATGCTTGTGTATGCAAAAAAAATACTTACACCAGATGAATATATCTTTATTGCACGTTTACACTATAGAAAGGTATGTGTATATAACAAACAACGTACATTACACATGTCAAAAACCACATGAGAATATATATCGATTTTTTTCCCATTATGAGGGTTTTATTATGGAATACCTTCACTTCGTCTTTATATATAGAATTTTCTTCCCTATAGGAATATTGTGTGTTCAACTTTTTGTGCAGTTAATTAATTTAAGGAATTCATACGCACTTTTTACGTCATTTAAATTTCACAACTATGGTTTATGGTTTGAAATTTATGAATATTGGAATATCTGAGCAAACATTATAAAATTATCCAACATCCGAGATTTCGATATAAAGATTAGTAATTAACAGATTTAACGCTAATACCCAATATCATTAATCCGAAATGTGTTTGTTGATAAATATTATACTTGCCTCCTCATCATGAATGAACCACTTGAAAATTGCAGCTGGTTTAGATGGAGCTGCGTGGCAAGTGATGTTCACTTCATCTCCAACATGATATTGAAACTTGGTCCCGATAATTGTAGGTCCTCCTTTAGGTAGAACTGGAATACCATGAAACACACAAACACACACATGTATATATATATATATATATTAAGATTTCAATCTCATGTAAAAAGTTTTGAAACAACTACTTGTGGGCTAGTAGATTTATTTCGGTACAACGTTTCGCCTCTAACAGTGAGACATGATGACTTACAATAAACAAAGTACACAATTTCAATGTGAATAGGTTGAAACTTGTGTAACAGTATCTAGACATGATGTCCTCTTTTCTTATGGCTATTCATCCCTTTTCGTATTCTAATGTGTTTCTTATGGGAAGTAATATCAAAATTGTCATTTTCTTTACAGAACAGTGGTTTTCAATAAGTTCATAGAATAAGAATGTGTTTAAAATTCAATACCGACATACTTGCTTGATAAGAGTTTTTCTAGTTTGGTTTCCAGATAAAGAAGAGAAGCATAATAATGATGATTGTCATCAGTACGTTAGAAGTTATATTTTCCCAAAACAAATGGTCCTCTGCTTATCGATTCAGTCTTCTTCATGTTTATATATACCCGTGCTCTGTTTGCAAGGTTCAAATACTCCCGCTCTATTGATTCACAGAGGTTCTAGAACATCGATCAAACTCCCTCATTATATCCAGTTACTCCTATAACTATTTAAGGGGTGTCCGCACAAATAAGTAAAAATATGAAACAAAAACATTAGGACACTTGCCCCTTGGGCATGAATAAATGTGTCAAATTGGTCCCGTTAGATTGTGAGTAGAGGTATGAGCACAGTATCAAACATGATTCTTCGTGTTCTCGAGTGAGACCAGCAATCCAAAAATTATATTAGATTCGGCTTCAGCGACATTATAAATTCTACTCCTGGATCCCCCATCATGACTGGGTGACCATTCGAACGCATTTTAGTTCCCACTGGGAAAGTTTGGTCTTGCTTGCTCTAAATCTGTTGGAGGAATTCGCGGACAAACATATTCACACAGAACGTGTAGTAAAAGAGAATTTTGTACATACCTTTATTTTTAAATTAAAAAACGTATTTTACAGACAGAATAGTGTAACTTTTCCTATATTGTAATGCAAATCTACTGCTTGCAACGATATTACGTCTCATTAGTCATTGAATAAAGTCTTTTGGTGAACGTTCAATAGGATGCATTTCCTTGTACCTAAATAATACCACAATACATTGTACACTTGCTCTTTCATACGACTAAGTAGAAGCTAAAAGAAGCCTTTATAAAGATATAAAAGAGATCCTAGTTATCTCTCGGCGGATATGTTTTACTTACATCAAGATATATATACAGCCAGTTATATCACTAGTAATGATCCCACGAGTTAAAAATCTTAGATGTTACTTTGTAACCAATGCTGTTAAAGTTGTATTGTGTTCTCGTTCATTATATAAACTAGGCAAGGGTACCCTTTAAGGAAGCAAAAACTGTAAAAATGAAAATGTTCGATAATGTCCCCTTTTGTTTTTAAATCCCTAATGACCTCATTAGATGCTAATTGCCTACTCTGCTTTGTGTAAATTAATAATTGACTCATTTAACGGATTAAGTACTTGTGTCTTTAAATTCAAAGCCAAAAGTCTATAAACAAGTGAAAATATGCCTTATTTCAGGGTCTTTATATTTTCTCTTTCTTGTGCAAAAAAAAAACCTTAAACAAAGTAGCCTGCATATCTTTGGACAGTTTCTTGTTGCCATACAAAAAAATTACGGTAATCGAGGTAGCCAGCTGTAGGTGATGGAAGCCAAAAGACTATAAAAGAGTGGAAATGTGCCCTATTTCAGGTTTTTTTTATTTCTCTTCCGAGGCAAAAATCTTAATGAAGAATAAACCATGTTCACCCGCTAGATAGTATCTAGACAACCCATAGAAGATTACAACATCAAGTCAGCCAACTCTGAGTGATGGATGCTAACACAAACACACACACATCATCTTTACAGTAAGATATGTATTTGTCGATACGCTTAGAAATATATAAACTGGACTTTATTAACTTATATATTGCTAGAGTTTTATGATTGACTCTAGGTGAACAAGTTTAGTAAACTTTTGTAAAATTGAGAAGAAAGTTAAATTGGACATAATATTCCCCGTTAGACTGAACATAATATTCCCCGTTAGATTAGACATAATATTCCCCGTTAGATTGGACATAATATTCCCCGTTAGATTGGACATAATATTCCCCGTTAGATTGGACATAATCTTCCCCGTTAGATTGGACATAATCTTCCCCGTTAGATTGGACATAATATTCCCTTTTAGATTAGACATAATATTCCCTTATAGATTAGACAATATTCCCCGTTAGATTAGACATAATATTCCCCGTTAGATAAGACATAATATTCCCCGTTAGATTGGACATAATATTCCCCGTTAGATTGGACATAATCTTCCCAGTTAGATTGGACATAATATTCCCTTTTAGATTAGACATAATATTCCCTTATAGATTAGACAATATTCCCCGTTAGATTAGACATAATATTTCCCTTAAAGAGAAAATAATTTATCTAGAAGTCGGTTTGTTTGTAATTAAGCACAAAGCTACATAAAGGGCTATCTGTGCTCTGCCCACCACGGGTATCGAAACCCGGATTCTAGCGTTGTAAGTCCGCAGACATACCGCTGTGCCACTGGGGGGGGGCTAGAAGTCAGTAAATGTTTCTCTGATGCTCGACGTAGATGCATTTATTCCACCCCTAATTTTAATTATACACTTTTATGAATCATCAGGGACAAATATCCGGGTTGAAGTGTCATTACAGAAACCTTTATATTATCCTCCGGATATTCCTAAATGAATTAATTTGTCAAACTCGTGTGTTGTGAAGATGTTACTAACTTATCTATTGTCCAACATAAGAGGTAGAAACCGGGTTTCGATACCCGTGGTGGACAGAGCACAGATAGCCTATTGTGTAAAGAAAATGGTTTATCATGACTGTAGCACTAACCAGCTATAGGTTACAGTTTATATCGAAATCTCCTGTTGCCTTACTGATTGTCATCACTATGATGTGTAGCTTTAATTAATTTGTTTTCAATTTATATATTTAACTCTATCGGTTTACTTGTAAACTCAAGCAATCTATGTTCTTATCCTATATTTCAGTCTAAAATTGTCAGGCAAAATTTATATTGTTTTATTAGTTTACTTACAAGCTCTAGTAAATTTAATGTATTTTTATTACCTTCTATAGATGTATGATTAGATCAATCTTGCACCTAACATCACAAGTACTGTGCTCAGCAGATCTCTCCATCCAGCTCGCTTAATTAATACGTTTGTACAATGTAAAAATAGCCTGTTACCTTTCCCTAAAGATGTGTAGTGTTACTCTCGTGTCGCAGGTTCTCCTTCATCGGAATTCGGTCCATGTTTTGGACCAGGGAGGATCAGGTTCGGCGTTTACCACTTTCTCCCTCCCAGGAATTGTTTCCACTGTTATTAAATCCCGGGGTAATAACCCTTATTACGTTGTTGAATTACACACAGTATGTTAAATTTTGTCCACTTTTCGCAGTTGTAATTAGGGTTTATACTTTAACGTACGGATACAAACAACCTCATTGTCAATATGATGAGAGATGTTTTGTTCTTGCGTCCTCTATATAGCAGATCATCCTTGTACAACGGGATTTTAAGGGTAGTAATTACACTCTACAACAGGATTTTAAGGGTAGCCATTACACTCTCCAACGAGATTTTCAGGGTAGCAATTACACTTTACAACAGGATTTTAAGGGTAGTCATTACACTCTACAACGGGATTTTAAGGGTAGCCATTACACTCTACAACGGGATTTTAAGGGTAGCAATTACACTCTACAACAGGATTTTAAGGGTAGCAATTACACTTTACAACAGGATTTTAAGGGTAGCCATTACACTCTACAACGGGATTTTCAGGGTAGTCATTATACTCTCCAAAAGGATGTTAAGGGTAGCCATTACACTATACAACTGGATTTTAAGGGTAGCCAATACATTCTACAACGGGATTTTAAGGGTAGCCATTACACTATACAACTGGATTTTAAGGGTAGCCAATACATTCTACAACGGGATTTTAAGGGTAGCCATTACACTATACAACTGGATTTTAACGGTAGCCATTACACTATACAACTGGATTTTAAGTGTAGCCATTACACTTTTCTACGGCATATTGATTTACAACAGTGATATATAATTACAGTATTTACACAAATGAATCTCAAGTGCAATGTCTATTAAAAAGCTAACTTTGCTATAGCAAACCCATCAATCACAACCATAGATTACGCCTGTTAAATGTATAAACTCAACCCATCCCCCATTCAGTTTCATTCACAGCTTAGAAATAAGGTCCAGCGTAGTTTCTGCGATTATTAAAAATTATAGAATCTGATAAATGTATTATCCAACTATCTGTTTATCTATCTATGATAAGTCTTATTAACGTAATAACATCTTTAGTAAACTGATGTACTGTATAAGAGATTTTTTTTAAAGTTTATTAGTCAGTCAAATACCTACACAGCCATTCAGAGATGCTATGCACGCATACATCAAACTCGGAAATGTTCATTAAACCAGCGTGTGCGAATAATTCCATCTGCGTCTAGACTTGTTTATGAACTTTTCGTTCTAGTAGACGTACCTTTATTACCTTGTGAAACATGGTTTTGTGTGTTGGCGAAATGGAAGATTGTTTAGATAAATATCTGAATCAGGACATTTTTACATTTAGTCTGATTTTTTTTACTGTCTTATTATGTTACTCACATTCAACCATCAAACACTCTTTTTGATTAATTTTTGTTTTAAAGTACATGTTCCGGCCATGCTTCTGTTCTCTACAGTATTATATTATACATTCGTTAAATTAATGACAAAACTGAACATTTTACCATGTTAGTAATTTTTGGCTCAACAGTAACTTGGGTGCTTTTAACTCAAAAATACGGGGCTTGACTTCTGCAGTAGGCACAGCAGAGATAGTCCATTGTACAGCTCTCTCTTAAAGAAAACTAATGATTTTCTGGAATTTTTTTATTATATTAGTTTGATTTGTTAGATTATCCGTAAATTAGAACATTTTTCTCAATTTGACTAGCATTCTTTGATTCTATATACTGAATATCTTAGTTTGATTTGTTAGATAATCCGTAAATTAGAACATTTTTCTCAATTTGACTAGCATTCTTTGATTCTATATACTGAACATCTTAGTTTGATTTGTTAGATTATCCGTAAATTAGAACATTTTTTCTCATATTGACTAGTATTCTTTGGTTCTATATACTGAACAGCTTAGTCTGATTTGTTAGATTATCCGTAAATTAGAACAATGTTCCTCAATTTGACTAGTATTCTTTGATTCTATATATACTGAACATCTTAGTTTGATTTGTTAGATTATCCGTAAATTAGAACATTTTTTCTCAATTTGACTAGTATTCTTTGATTCTATATATACTGAACATCTTAGTTTGATTTGTTAGATTATCCGTAAATTAGAACATTTTTTCTCAATTTGACTAGTATTCTTTGATTATATATACTGAACATCTTAGTTTGATTTGTTAGATTATCCGTAAATTAGAACAATGTTCCTCAATTTGACTAGTATTCTTTGATTCTATATACTGAACATCTTAGTTTGATTTGTTAGATTATTCGTAAATTAGAACATTTTTTCTCAATTTGACTAGTATTCTTTGATTCTATATATCGAAACAGTCGAATTTCCTACAAAGCATTTTTGATTAGAGACAGGTAAAGTTTTAGTGACTCACGAACTTTGTTTTGAAAGTTCAGTATTAATGAAGGATTGATAGGTTAAAGGCCAGTACTGAACAATAATCAAGTCGAAGTAAAAGTATAAAATGAACTCAACATCCACTCTACTAGCTTTCAGAACAACATATGTAAAAGTTATAGTATTCTAAATAAATTTATCCCATTTATATGGTGAGAGAGTGAGTTTTGTCGTATCCGTTTTTAATTTTCATAGTCTGTATAACGTTCATGTAATATTACACTTTATAACAAAAGAAAAGAACATGCATTGTAGATACAAGTTTGGAACGTCTTTATTTTTATTTTCTGAAACGCATCAAAAGCCTGTTCTATCTAATTATAAAATTGAGGAAATTTCAACGTTGCACTAACCAAAAACAAGAAATGATACTAGCAACTTCTCATAAAAATTAAGAATTACAGTGTTTTATCTTTTAAGACAGATCTATAGTTTTCCATGTATGAAAACTTGAGAAATAGAGTGTCTATTTGAAAAATTAAATTTCATATTTTAAATTTTATATATAAGATAATTATGCTTTTGATAACTGAATTATCATACAACATTCAAACGAGTGTTTTCAATTATTTAGGTGAATAATATTAGAAATTCGAATATTTTAGAGTTACGAAATTGAAGCCTTAATTCTACTAGGTGCCCTTAGTAATGCCTTCTCCAAAAAATGAACAAATCCCCAATGAAAATAATATATATATATATATATATATTAAATAACACATAACAGAAAAAGAACCGAAAAATAAATACTGTATAGATACATATAAAAAAAAATATTCATTTTATGGTAGATGGCAAAGTTTACTAAGACACGGTTGTATTGCTACGTACTTTAATACATGGTAAAATTATAACTACGTTAAGTTTATCTGAATAATTATTCTTATGTAAGTTACCATATGTATTAACTAAAGAGAGAAAATCATAATGTTTAAATACAAGCAAGTAGGGTCCTCCGGTAAGTCTACGGACTTACAAAGTTGGAATTCGAGGTTTAATTCCCCTTGGTAAACAGAGCACAGCTAGCCCAATGCGTATCTTTGCGTTAAAATAAACAAAACAACATGCGAATAGATTCTGGGAAAGCGAATACCTATGTTAAAATATGTGTACTACGTATGAAAATAAATTCCTTTCTGAAACATTTCAATATCAGTAGTTACTCCTGCTGGAAATACTTCCTCACGATAGAAAAATGGCTCGGCTTGGCCAGGTGGTTAAGGCACTCGACTCGCAATCTGAGGGTCGCGAGTTCGAATCCCCGTCACACCAATAATGCTCGCCCTTTCTGCCGTGGGGGCGTTATCATGTGACGGTCAATTCCACTATTCGTTGGTAAAAGAGTAGGCCAAGCGTTGGCGGTGGGTGATGATGACTAGCTGCCTTCCCTCTAGTCTTACACTGCTAAATTAGGGACGGCTAGCGCAGATAGCCCTCGTGTAGCTTTGCGCGAAATTCAAAACAAACAAACAAACTGATACATTTCTATTTCACCGAAAGACTTGCATTATCGCAGCCTCAGAACACTTTCTTTAACATCAAAGATTGGAATTTACATGCGAGTTAATTTATGGAGGACTGGATAAGAAAAATTGCTTTTCATTTCTCAGACCTAAATATTATTGTTTTTATATTTCTATCTGTTTTAAGCTGCCAGAATTTTTGAAGGCCAAATGAATGGTGTAGAAGTGTGACAGCTTTTTGCTTTCAGAATTAGAAAATAATGAACCTAAATTATTGCTTCTTCTCCAGCCAGGCTGGGCACGGACAGTGGTTAGCTTGCCTGTAGAGTGGATCAGATCGTTCAAGCCAGCCATGATATGACGCTCTCCACTTTCCGCTTTGGAAACGTTTGTTACTGTGACAGTCAGTCTTGCCATTTCATCAAAAATATTCGCAGGATCGGGGGGCGCTGCTTGTAGTTTGTATTCCCGCCGGTCGGTAATTGTATGCCTGAACCCTATGAAATTACCAAACATTTCTCAAGTGTACTGTCTATGAGATGACAATCCTTTAGTATTATGGTTGTTACCATGGAAACGTCAATTATTAATTATGCATAGATGAACGAGATACAATTATAACGTATGGCCTACGTTCAAACTAGTAAATATTTATACTTAACATACTACTTGCCCACGTAAATATTTTGAGTGTAATACATGAATTCAATTTTTTGAAACTATGACAGTCAAATTTATCTGCATTATACTTAAGGAGAGCTAAAAATAAAAACACCATAGCATGATCTTTTATTTGACATTGGGGACGTATATTGATCACTTCTCGAAAAATTTAAGTTTTATTATTGTATGAAGTGTTTGTTGTTGTTTTCGGAAGGGGGGGTCCAAGTGCTTTTCTTGTTCGTTATTGTTTTGTATATTTATTCGTCTTCAAGATAAATAATCGAATCATTAAAAGAAAAGAGAATCCAAAAGTGTTCCTTTTTCGCTGTAAACGAAAATTTGGATCAATTTATTACTACACAAAAAAAAGAAGGAAAAGGGAATCATCAATAGCTGCGGCTGTAATTAGATTTCAATCGGTCAAAAGATGGAGGTATGAGCTAAAAGTTTGTACTTGATAAAAACAAACAAACTCAGATCCATTCTATGAACCGCTATGCCGTGGCTAAAAAGTCAAGAAGCAGAATCTAAAACTCAATAATTGTAATTAATACGAAAACGTATTTAATAATTCTATATTTAAACTTTTTAAGGGCAGCGTACTTCTCCAACATTTTAATATAAAGAATCTACCAATTATCTTTGAAAATAACTACAGTAGATCCATGCGTTATAGCTATTCTCTCTAGATCCTCAGAAATGGGAATGAACCTGCTAAACTCCTGCAGGGTAGATCGTGTTTTAAAAATCAACACTAATATAAAAAAAAAGGTTTTCAAGAACAAAAGTCACGTGGTCATCAACTTCCCCGAAAAAAGGATTTTACTGATTAACATTCCCGACATTCTTACATAAACAATTGAAGTTAGACTAGATGAAACAAAAATTAAAAGAAGATTTTATAGTATTAAAAGCAACGATCCCTTCTTTCATAATGGTTTGTATGAAAACCAAAGATGCAAAACTATTGGAGTGACTAAATGACTTAGAGCGTCCTCTATTCTTCAGCATTTGAAGCTTACCCATATAACGGCCAGTTAGGCCCAAAAGAAAGAATAGAACTGCAAGAGAGCATCTATAATATTTTTTTTTATAATGCCTTAAGTAAACAAGACTTCGTTCAGTATAATTTAGCTAGTTGGTCAATATTTCTCTGAAGGATAACTTCTCTGTTGTTATGTTACCACTACTACTACTCACTTCTGTGTATTAGTAATATTTGATAATTTTTTTTACCTTTCTCTTAATATGTACATTCAACAAATAACGTCTACATTTCGATTGGTATTATTTATACGAAAGAAGTTATTACGTTTGTGTCTTTACAGTTGATGAGCTTTATTACAAAAACAAAAGTGTACCAAATGAGAAACACAAAAACGTCATTTATGAAATTACGCGTTACTGCAACGAAACATATATATATTGGAGAAACGGGAAGAACAAAAGATAAAGACAGCACAAGATTATTGAAAACACAAAATTCAGCCATTGCAGAACACACCATTTCAGCTGGACACAAAATAAATTTGGATAAAAGTAGAATAATCGACACAAACAAATTTTGGAAGACTAGAATAATTAAAGAATCCTTTTACATTAACACAATGAAACCTTTACTAAACAGAGATTCCGGATTAGAGGTGAGTAACCTGTGGCTACCATTGGTTGAATCTATAGGAATCAATCAGAAACAGGGATAAGCCAACCAATCATAACACGCCTTCCACAATCCACCAGAATACTATAAAGATCGACACAGAGAAATCCAAAGTTTGAAACCCACCCGCATGTTTGTCTGGATCTCTCTGCCTTGCCTCGTCGTCGTCATCGACTCTACCACCACTGGACAAAAAGAATTGCATCTTCTCTCAACCGACCTTCTTCACAGCTTCTCTCTCAAAAAACTTTTATATTACGAATATAATCTCTGTAGCAAATTATTCTCACGCGCGGGGTTGAAGGGGAACAACGGTTCCCGAGTACCCCAGTTGGGAAGAGCAGGCCAGCGTAATTTTGCTTACTCTTTCATAAAACTAAATTACTGTCACGTTTCTTTTCTTTAGTTCCAAATTTCTGAACACCCTTTGTTTTAAACCAAGATACCTCAAACGCGTCTCTCAACAATCCATTCTACGTGTTAAAGTTAAACTAAGCCCAGGGGCTCTATCAAATTTCGTTTGGCATTAACCTTTTCATTAAGCGGGATGAAGAAAAGCAAAAAAGTTTCTGACCACCCCGGGTTGCCTTTCAGGCCCCACAGTCTTTTTTTTTTTTGAGGCTTGAAAGATTTTTTAACCTAAATTCCTGCCACACATTTGATTTAATTAAACACACTAAAAGATTTAAAATCAAAATACCTGTTAATAATTGAATTGGGATACATTGACCTGAAGACGAAAGACGAAAGACTTTCGAAACGTCGTACTCTAGACTTGTGTTTGTACAACAGGTATGTTGTTGTCCATTCAACGAAATTGTATCATTTTTTATAATATATATATATTTCTGCTTTACTGTATTTTTCGGTGTATAAGATGCACTTTTTTACCCCAAAATTTGATGTCAAAATCTGCTTATGTCCTATAC